CATCGCGCACGTGGTAATTACTCATAGGCAACCCGCCACATTAGCCTGCTTTGCTGCCTGTCACTGTGTTAATTTAGACAGAGTGGCTCATTGAAAACCTAGCGGACTGGTAACCACCGCACGTGATAATGTCTTCATGTCACGTCAGATAAAACAATTCGCCATGCGACACGCCCACTGGAGCCAAGGTGAATGATAAATACGGAACTGTCTACGAAATTTTCTGTCATACAAGTTAGGAAATGTATGCATTGCTCATTTTAAATTCGTGCCTTGATACTCTTTTTATAAATTCTGTTGGACGTCGTGTCCTCACGCGAAAACTTCCGGTGTTGTACGACTCCAGCCAAAATGGGAGTGGAGACACTTTTTAATAGCATTACCCAGTGCCAAATTTTGTGAAAATCTATCAGGCGGTTGTCGAGTTCTTACACAGGGACAGACGGGCGGACGTTGAGAATCAGGGTAGATACCGACGTTTCGGAGGAACATGCTGTACCTATCTTCAGGGCTAAGAAGAAGATGGACCGAGATTCTTGTAGTGGACGCGTGTAACATGTTGACGTCTTAGCGGCGTTGCTCCGAGTCGAGCGTCACTCCGACACTCATTTCGGTAATTGATGCTTCGCCGCCATTGATCAAGATGCGCGATCTCGCCACATTATTCAGCCCCGTGTTTGCTGACTCTGTCAGGATTATTAATGAGCCTTTCCGTGCTCTTCCCCCCCCCCCCCCCTCTTTTAATTGTGGCAAAGTGTCCCTCTCTAGACCAGTGTCCTGTTACTAATGCATCTACTCTTTCTGCAAATATTACCAGATTCTTTTAATCTGTGACCCTATCAAAGGAAGGGTCATCCCTTTTTCTCGTACTAACGCCCACCTCCCAAGTACTGAATTAATGGCACTCAGTTAAGTAGCTGACAGTCAGTGAGCTTAATTTGCGTGAAGGAAGTTCATGGGACGATGTCCATAAGCAGCGTACTTAATGGTAATTGCACTGAGACGCTTAAAAAGGAAATTTGGAGGCATTCCGGCCTTGGCGACTAAACCAGACCTCAATGGAACCCTAGGATCGGTCCATTGCTGTGCCAGTCGACAGTGAAGCGCCTTCTTCTCCACTTCAATGTTATTCTTCCATCTATTACTTGGTTTACCAAGTTATATTTTATTTACACCTCCTGTGCGTTTGTTAAATCTGAATTATTGTTTGCATGTCGCTTTCTGTGGAATGTTTTGGTCTTGGTCTAAAAACGCACGCAGAATTTCAGAAGGTGGCTCTACTTTCGCCAGCAGTTGAGATCTAAAAGCCAATTACAAATATTATGTGTTTTATGGGGTTTTAAACCAAGAACAAGGAAAGTTGTGGAAGAATGGGCGTGATTTTGACACGCGTTTGTCAAAACGGCCGACTGCAGAACTTCCAGGTGGAAGAATGGGCGTGATTTTGACACGCCTTTGTCAAAACGGTCGACTGCAGAACTTGCAGACGTTTTAAATTTCCAAATCTCGTTGCTTGCGTTCTGCTACAAAACTCTTCTGAGGTCCAGTTAATTAATATTACTCAGAAAAAATGTCGCAATGCAATTGGCGGCAATGGTTCTTTCGTTATTTTCAAGAACCACGAGAATGTTAGTTTGTATTATTTTGTTGGTATGTGTATCATCGCACGTATAATTATGAATAAATTACTAGAATAATTGGATTCATTAAATAAAGGAGAGTAAAGACTGCAGAACTGAGATAGAAGTGATCGTTCGAATGACAACCGATGAAAGTTATAGCGTTGACCATTCGCCACGAAGTCCTTCTGCAAATTTTACGGACGCTTAGAAGCAGGTTTTATCTGCCTGACACACTCATACAGAACAGTCGTTTCAGACTGTAGTATTATACTTAGTTAATGGAATACAAACACAGTCTAGTGTCTACAGGAGACAAAGCAGACTGGAGCTCAGGTTTAAAGATGCCTCAATAAAGTCGAGCATTTCCTCAGCCTTATAGCTCATTCAATTATTTTGAGATGGCACTAAAGTTCCCTTGTTATAAACAGGGAACTTGATACTAACCAAAGTAAAAATATTAGTTTCAAGTGAATTCAGCGAGAAGCACATGTTTCGGATATTTTCTGGGGTAAACTGTGGTGAGGTCTTTGAGGTTTTTTAAGTACCTCCAAGCGAATGTGTCGCAAATTCTGATGACAGTTCGAATTAAATTGTTTACTTACAGACGCGCTGAGTCACATACTGAACGTACAAGCAAATTCTGAGGCTATTTTAGTGATTTGTAATTGTCGTAATGCACAAGATGAAATAAATGTCTAAAATATTAAGAAATTAATTCCGATGGAATTATTTATTTATTTATTTAAAAACCAGAAGTCGCTCACCTAGTAAAATATCCCATCTTTATGGAACTACGTATAAGGTTCATTTTTGTGTTTACAAGAGCCCGTCAGTGACCTCTATCATGAGCCACACGAATTCAATCTGAAATCTCCCCCTCCCCCCCAAACCGAAATTATATCGTCACTTCAGCCTTTCCGGGCAAAATTGTGTGCGTATTTCTCCCATGCGTACTACATGCTCAGCCTATATCATCTTCATTCATTTTAACACTCTATTAATGTTTGGTAAGTAAAGACGCTCCTGGTGATATTTGAGGTTCTCACAGCAGCGAACATGAAGATGGTTGCTTTCGAAACAGGTGTCTTTCAGATGTCTTCTGATTCTAGAGCGGCTGTCATGCGCTCTAAGACGTTCAACTGTTTAACGATGTGTGAACACAGAATTTCTGAAAGCTAATCTCTTGAAGATAAATTCTATCACTGTCAGTATCACGGATTTTTAATTTTTGTTTACAAGATTAAAATTTTCTTCATTTATTTCGGACGTCCTCGGAATTATGTCTGCGACAGTAACTTTTGGGATTCTGTTTTCAGCATTGATTTCAAATGTCTTGTGCGACTGCTCTTTATAGACTTGTATTATCGTATCAATTTTTGTTATACTCAGACCTTCCCAAATGTTTCCGATACATTTATGATCCGCCGTTTTCTCGTACGACCTCTGTGATGAAATTCTGTTCTGTCGTATCCAATTTTTTCCAATTTCAATTTTTTCTTCACCCCAATATTCGGCTCTATATATATGTTATACATATCTTTCTTATTGCGTACAATCTTTGTAATGCTTGCCTTCACCATTTCTCAAATAACATGTGCTTCATATCCACTTCTCTGCCCTCGGCGTCCGTGGCATCGAGATTTATAATTATCCAGACACTTACGTCTTACCCTTTAACATGTAGAAACATATTCCACTAATTCGATCTATACGCTGGCAACTTAAAGCACTATCTGTGTCTGATAACAAATGCCTTTTCATGATCTTACCACAACTAGATTGCCTCATGGTGTCCACGTTTAAGAAACCATTTGTTGATGGTGGGGACATGCATCTCGTATGGGAAGTTGGACCTTGGAAGTTGATGACGAAGTTTGTGGGATAATATTAATATGGATCTTATGAACAGAGGTTGTGAATTTGTATTGCTTTATTTAATTACAGAATGTTTAATAAATAAGTGAACAAATTATCTGCACGTGTCTAAAGATAGTACATGCTTTAGGTCTGTTTGTGTTCCAGAAGTCTATGGAATGCGTTGGAACATGGTAACTATGAACCCTTTTAATTTTACTTTAAACCATCGAAACTGAGTGAAAGGTATCTTCCAATCACATTAAGGATGTAAAGGATATCAGAAATCCTTAATCTGTATCAGCTGTAGTTATTAGCTGTTGTTTCAGTTTAGAAAGTCAAATTTCATTTAAACAGGAAGAGGATTTATGACCGCGGTGGGAAGTGTTTGGTTTTTGTACTCCAGCTGATTCTATTCCACGGGATTGGGGAATTTCGCCGTTTACGACTTTCATTTCAGTTTAAAAAGACCTTTGAAAGCCTCCTCGTTTGCTTGTGTTCGTCTCCCCCTCTCCCTGAAGGAGTAAACTCAGTGAAGGTTGTAAATTTCTGTCGGTTGAACATCATGGAGCGGCCACAGAATTGTCTGCAATGTTAGAGAAAGGTTTTATGTTGCATCTGGAATAACGAGGTTAATTTGATATAAAGCTCCCTTTGTATCTCAGGCTAGTACTCGATGCCTTGAACAGCCTCTGATACATTCGTTTCAAAAGCAAATTCCAAGTTACGTCTTCTTTATTGTTTCACTGTGTCATTTTTTTTATGGAAAAATGCTTTCACTGATATGCCAGAACGAAACTGTGAAAGCGACGTAATTTTCAGCATTTTTATGTTGCAGGTTACTTTTATAAAAGGTTCACAGGCGTTATCAGCTAATTATTCTTTGAATCCAGGAGTTCATCAAGAATTCAGCCCGTACCGCGAAGAAAACACAACTCTTCACCATTAAAAAGTTCGTGTGGTTAACCCTTTAAAGCTGAACCCCGTCTAAATAATATATAATAATTCAGCCCGTACCGCGAAGAAAACACAACTCTTCACCATTAAAAAGTTCGTGTGGTTAACCCTTTAAAGCTGAACCCCGTCTAAATAATATATAATAATTCAGCCCGTACCGCGAAGAAAACACAACACTTCACCATTAAAAAGATCAACTGGTTAACGCTTTTTAAGGAATTAATCGATGTTTACTGTGAGAATCATACGAAACCCCTAAACACAAAATTAAGACTTTGTGATTCCTAAAGCATATGGTAAATATAATTACCATTCGGCTTCAGTGAGTTACAGAAATAATCGCTGTTTCCTCTGAGAATCACAAAAACAGACAAAATCTGTGGGCGAGTTGAAGTTACAGCATGTTACGTACTTTGATGGGTTAAGGATGTGTTCATTGAAACCTGGTGATTTGTTCTGTGCAGGTAAAAGTGATGTTGCGTGTGTTTGGTGGGGCCGTGTCTGGACCTGCTACCGGAGCGACGGCTTCCGGTAGCTGCACGACACCCGGAGGAGGGTCAGCGTCTTTCTTCAGCGTCGATAGCCGCAGGAAACAAGTGACGCTGTTCGATCCCGCGGCTTGTGGGAGCACAGCAACCCCTGAAGACCGACGCGTCGGCGTCGCTGCCCCGAAAATGTTCGCTTTTGATGCCATCTTTACACAGGAAGACTCTCAGGCAAGTACCCGGGTCCATATCGGATGCAGGGAAATAATCCTTTCCCTAAACTACATGTAATTTCTTAGTCGGTACATAAATTAAATTATTATATGTTCCTCTTTTTAAATCGACTACCATTTAAAATGCGTCATTAATCAGATCCTACCAGCTAGTTGACGGCGACGCCCGTCACGAGCGCCTGGCTGGTTTAACGATGCATTGTATCTGATAGTTTATGTTGTGTATGGGACGACACTGAACCATAGAAAGACAGAAAGAAGACTATTTGTCGCCAGACTTGAAGCTTCCACTGCAGTGATGTTGATGTCCTGGGTTTTGGCGTCTTGTAGAGTCTAGCATCTCACTAGGAGTCTACACGGAGCCACAACCAAAAACATAATTTTTTAAAAAATTTATTTGTTAAAATTGTCAACCATTTTTTCATGATTTTCATTAAACTAGGAACGTACATTTTGCCATCGGAGAATCCATTTCTCTGTATCCAACTTTCGTGTAATTAATAATGACAAAATGGTAGTTCTGCGAATTTCTGGAATTGGTTGTAGGGTTTCTGAAATAATAATATATATATGGTAACATGTCTTTTAAACACGTTCTCAGCTTTTGGGTGATTATCAGTACATCGCTGTAAGTACTCGTGTGAATGTTGCTATCATTTTAGATTATAAATGTGACTATAAATTTTTCATTGAGTATTCTCCTGTGAAAATTACAACAAAAAAATGATGGGCGTTAGAAGCCTTTGTAGTTCTGTCTGGCAACTTTTATACGAAAAATTCTGCACAAATATGCCGCTTACAATTAGACACGTGATTAATTATTCAGAAGTAAGTTTCGCTAACCTTCAATTCCTTTGTTCGCCCATTTTCCTTCTCTCTCTCTCGCATTCGTCACTGTCACTTCTATTATTCGTGTAACATGCGCACAACTTCTGCGCAACTTTCCGTGTACTCTCGTACGTAGTCCTCGCAGTTTACAGGAAGCATAACACGTGTCTTAAAATCACGTGTTCGTATCCCAAAAAAGTTTCCGATGTGATTGAGAGAATCAGTAGGAATCATGCCGACAGTGCAGCATTCAGAACGACATTTAGTACCGCTGATTTACCCGACAAAGCTGACAAAGAAGCTAGCGAGCGGGGAGCTACTGAATTTTTAACTCCTTCGAACGAACAGATCGGGTAGCGGAGGGTGGAAATGCGCCCTCGAAGCTGAGAAGAGCAGGAATCAGTTGCTACCCGACAAATTGGTTTCGTTAACAGTAAGCAGACAATACTCGACATGCCCCCATTCAAATCACACCTGCGTCCCTTCGCAGGACCTGCCTACAATTCAACTTGCTGTTATTCTGTGATGGAACCTCTCGCAAATAGACGCATCAGAGGACGTCACCGTGCGTTTCGCTCACCAAAACCCCCTACCAGTATTGGACATTGTTTGATAAATATTTTATTTTCCTAGTTTCCGTCTTCAGGTGATCTGTTGACAGTATGATGAAATATTTTGTATAATGTTTATTCCAAAGTCACTGACAGTAAGCCAACTGTCCGCACGTACTTACCAAATATACCTCAGACGGTGGACATCGTACAAAATAATATTGTTACGACGGAAAAACCCATTATCACAAACCTTTATAAAATAATTGTATACAGATTTTAAATCAGCATCGTTGTCTTGATTCATTTGTAATGGGACCGCAGTGATATGGACAGATATAGAGAGTGTTGGCAGAACAGAAATTGTAAATTACAGACCGAGGTAGAAGCTTTTGTACACAAAAACATTAATTACGAAACTATGTTTAATATTGCTATGAACGTACTCTGTAATCGATTTACGTGTAATGTTGTTACCGTTTGTTGACCTCACGTAAAGAACGCCTCGTTCATTTCTTTCATTACGTTTATACAATGTGTGATGTACTTTTTAATTTACTTTTCAAAACAAGACTCTACAGAATTGTGGAGATTTTCTTATAGATTCAAGGAAGTAATAACCTTACCTTTTGATGCATTCATTGGGTTTATTTCCACAAATAACATTTAATTAAATCTGCCCAAACATAATTCTAATATTTAAAATTCGTTGGAAAAATTTTAACACACTGCTGAATGTATTGTCAGTCAATTCCGCAACTTTTATTACAATTAATGCCATCACATCAATCCAGTAAAGACACTCCAACACCAAGATTCATTTTAATATTATCCTCCCATCTACTCTTAGGTCTTTCGAGTGATGTCTCTCATTCAGGCTTTCCAGCCGAAACTTTATTATCATTTTTCAACTTTTCCGTGCTAGCTACATGCCCCGCCTATCTCATCCTCCTTGATTTAATATTTTAATACAGTCGTCTTCGCACTGAGGCCGTGCGAACCCGAAATCTCACGAAGGGCAGAAGATTTTAGGGACGCCTTGCTTGTAGCACTCTAAATTCTTATTAAACATTTTAAGATCAGTGGTAATTATATGCACCACCGGCTTAAACAGTAAGTAACGCGTAATTTTTTATTTATCGATTTCGAATGATTTTCAGAATAAACAGCGATTATTTCCTTAAACAGCGATAACCGGTTGATCTTTGAAATGGTGAAGTGTCGTGTTTTCTTCGCGGTACGGACTGGATTCTTAAATATTTAGACGAGCTCCGGCTTCAAAAGGGTTCAAGTAACACTTGGTTTGGTTGTGTTGAGGAGCTCGGCGTCTTTACACGGCGTGTTGTGGTTTCTCTTTACGCGGAACTAGTCAGAATGAATGTACGCGTTGCTATAACGACTGAAGGTGATTATCCTTAGCTGCTACGTCCGTTGCATTTGGAACAAGTGTATTGTATAGGTACTTAACGCTAAATCTAGGCCAATGAGCTCATGTACCTTTACGGATATACAGCGTGTTCCCAAATTCAGTGCTTCGTAGAAAATGCATGTCGAAAACTTCGTCTTATTAATATCGTACCCCTTAATAAGTTTAATTTATTTAATTTTATTTCGCCATACGCATCGAAACATCATTTAATGAATATAAATTGTCTTGTTATTGTCATAAATTCTCGTCACAGTCGTCTTTGCTTCACGGAACGAGATTAAAACTCTGAAGTCTATTTTAATCAACTGTGTAGTTTCTTCATCATCTGTTTATGTTATGTAGTTAAGCAGGTAATAAAGTCATTCAACAAATTATTCTGTTAATCACTCAGTTACTCAACAAATAAGGCAGTTAGTAATTTTAAGTCAGATTAAACTCGGATTAAATCTGTTAAAGTGATCTTGGATATCCTCCATACTCTTCACAACAAAATTCGTCAGCATTAGCGAGACACATGATGTCAGTAATAATCTGGTTGTCTTAAGTATCTTAAACCACCTGCGTTCGAATTTTGTAGTTCGAGATTCACTGTTCACAAATTTTGGACACCCCAAATCTACATGAGGATGCTGCAGTCTTCTTGCGACCGTGAAACGCGAACCAGACTGTGAAACTATCTTAGAATGCGCGATCTTAGCGTCAGTAAATGCCAGCCATAACGCCTAGCTTGTTGCATACGATAAGGAGCAGGTTGGCCTAACTGCTGTGTGCAGATGTGGTTTATTGGACGGGGAATCAGTAATAAAACCTTCTACACGTCAGCACGTGACACAGCTTGCACATATGTTTGTTTGGTTGCCTACTTCACAGTGCTTTTCACGTTCCCAGTTCACAAAAACATCAAAAGGGAAATTTGATGGTGAGTGCACGTAATATTACTTCAGTCTCCTTGGCTGTTCAAAATGTTTGATTAAACTTTAATTTAACTTACCGACTGTGGTCTTCTGGTGTGTGACAACGTTCTGTCTTCCGTGTCGGCATCTTTATCGTCGTGAGAACCTCAGATCTAATATAATTGTACCCATTGGTCTCTCATCCTTAGAGGACATAAAAAAGGGAATTGTGTCTAATATTTGGGCTTAAGAGAAATTGTGACGAGGCGAACATTACTTGGGCAACAAAATTGAGGAGCATAAGATGGGTGAGACTTGTAGCATACGCTGGAGAGAAAAAAATGCTCAGTAACATTTTATGATTTTCGCGAATATCAAGCGTGTTTGATAGTTACCACAGACCAATTTGGGCAAGAATTTTAGAGGCTTTTTTTACCTGAGCTGGTTTTTACATGCAACATGGGATTACAGATTCCAAAAAAATTGGGGACGTCACAGGTAATATTTACTCTAAAATTGCGTGATCGTAAAAGTTTATGACAAAATCCCTCAAGACATGCATTTCCCTGCGTCATGCTAAGTTCTCCATAGACCAGACACGCGCACTGAGCCGTCTTCAACCCATAATGCCTTTCGGCAAACAGACGTACTCGAATGAATTAGCAGGTGCTGTTGCCGAACACTGAGCTCTTCCCCCCATTATCAAGGACAACGGGGAGGGCTAATAACGGGCCCGTTGTCCTTGACGGGACAATAGACTTGTTCCATCTCATCGTTGGCCTGAGATTTCCAGCTGGTTTATTGTTTACTTCGTAATTCTCTGTTGGATTTCTGTGCTACGTTAGCAGCAGATGTTCCTAGCAGTTGTAAACGTGCAAGGCTCACTGACTGGTCTCTTTCCTTGCAGACGGAGGTGTGCTCGGGAGCCTTAAGCGATGTGATTCATGCGGTCATCAACGGAACGGACGGCTGTCTGTTCTGTTTCGGCCACGCGAGGCTTGGTGAGTGTTCCTTAACTAATTAGCACCCAAAACAATGTCCTGGACTTTGGCTGTGAATTAGTAGTAGTGAAATCAACACAATGTTAATTTATTCATCCAGTTCAGATTTCTGGTAATGTGTAATATTTAAAAATTATTTTTTATTTAAAACTTTCCTTGAAGATGGATGTCGTGTTGATGTCAACGTTTCCTAATAACATTCTATATTCAGCGCTGGAAATGGAGACGGTATGTTCCTCCGAAATGTTAGCATCTACCGACGAGTTTGCGTGGCGCCCGAAACGCAGATTATATAATCATTCCCATCGCCCTGAAAACTTCTGTTTGTATTTTGTAATCCTAGGATCTGTATCCTAAGGACAGTCCTATCTTCCTTCCATATTTATATACTTAGTATATCTCGTTAATGAGCTTGTTCTGTCCTGCGCATGCCCGTTGAGGGTCCACACACACACAGAAACACACTCACTTTAAAATGTCTATCAAGAGAAGTTTTAACTTCAGTCGAGAAATATTTTACATAGACACTGTCTGAGCGACTATCAGCTTATGAAGGACGACTCCGACCCTTGCGGTTAGGTAGTTCCCTGCATTACCGACTGTGGCTGGCTGGCTGTCGCACGTAATTCACTTTTGTTCTGAGCGTTTTAAATTGAAGTTCTGGGTTTCAGTTTTCGGCTGACACAGTCGGAAAAGGAGAGGGCGAGTTAATTGGTTTATGGATATCCTATAAATGTTGGACGAAGATGGCACAAAACGAAGAAGCGATAGGAAGTGTAATAAGTAATTTTATATGTTGACTCTTCATAATTGCCCTTCAATTAAAAAGAAGTGGAGCTTGACTCCTGACGACTTTATAGAGAGAAATTTCTACTAACCCTTTGAGTAGAGGCGAAGTTCTTTTATTCAAAGGAAAAGCTCCGATGCTCTGAATTCTATTTTTTTTTCATGCACGTTGAAAGTTAAATATGACGACGTCTTACGCTTAATTGCTTCTTGCCGCCAGAATATGGAGTTAACTTTCAATAAACTTAAAGTTTATTTAGGTGATATGTCGGTTTGTTAGTTAAAAAATTTCTCTTGTCATATTTCACGTGAAATGAAATCTCTTCTGGTCTCTTCACGTCGAAGCATGCACACGAAAAAGCTTGGATTTCAGAGGAACTTGTTCGGCTCGAATTAAATTAGAAAGATGAGCTCTTTATTAAGATTAGATTTTATTGGACCAGGAACGCTGATTTTTAAAACTATTTTACTGTTGGCTGTCAGAACTTAAATATAACCAAATTCTCTATTCGGTTAAATTTATCTAAATGCATGCTTGCAATGATTCTATAATCGTCTGTTCTGAAAATCAGTCATTTAAACACGTTTTAAATATATAAAACACGTCGTATACTTCAAAAGTTACAGTAATTATAATTAGATAACTCTTTGGGTGCCTTCCTGTTAAGCTAATTGACTGCCTTTTATGAAACTTCAAAATTAATTTTCGTGTTCACAAAACCCTGCCACTGGATCGTATCCCGAGCCAATTTAAATCAGTCAACAGCCCCAAAATCTAGTCCCTAAATTTTCATTTTTAATATTACATTTCCATATACACCTAGTTCTGATAATTTTTTCTTTGAGTTTTTAATCTACGATGTAACCATTTCTTGTGTTTCTCGTGCGTGCTACATGCCAAGCTCATCTAATTCTGTTGGATATAATAATATTTGTTGGCGACTAGAAATTATCAAGCTCCTCTGTCTGTCTCATTGTATTTTAACCCCTCTTAGATGGCAATATTATCCTAAGCTCCCTGTTCGCAGACACCTTCCTGCCTTCATAAGAGAGGCCCCCCCCCCAAAGCTGTGGAACAATCCGACTCACCCCGACGTTAAGGACACCAGTTCTCACGACAGACGCCTTGCTGGTATACGCGTACAAAGTTTTATTTGATCTGGGCGTTAAAACTTAAAATTTTAGTTTTCCATTACGATTTTAAAAACCGCAAATATTGATTCTGACGGAGAATACTATGTTCTGTCTGTGAGCAACATTGCAACACTGCAATATGGAAACAATTGAAAACCTATTTACATTAATTCGTAATCTACATGTGTTTCTGGGATTAAAATGGTAGTTAAAACGTACGGCCCTACCTCCATCCTCCGTGCGTCTATTAATCCCGAGAACCCCCCCCCCCCCCCACGCAAATTACCCAGCACCACAAACCTGTATGCTTCACTTTGTATGAAAACACCCCGACAGTTCGGCAACCCTTCTCGCACACGCCAGCATGCACTCTCATGCACACAGAGCCACACAGTGGCGTTCTAAGGTAATTACGCTTATTATGGAAGCATGTTCCGCCGTTTGTAATGGTGATTTCACTTCGTCACCGAGTTATCACCAGAGTATGAACTCTCTCCTCTCGCTGTAACACTACGACAGCATCGCGAATACCAAAACCTCATTCGTTGTGGCTTTGAATAATGTTGAACTGGATCCCTTCGCGCTGAGGTGTCTCATAACCCCTTATTTTCTCCCATGTGCCATCGAGTGTCTCTGAGCGGTGAATATGGCCTTGTCGGTCATTTGGATTCAAATTCCATGTGAACTTGTACGTAGATACCGACGTTTCGGAGGAACATGCAGCCTCCATCTACCACACGGTGTTGTAAAATCCTTTAACCACGATTTCAACAATACTGAGCGACGAAGTTCTTAGGCGTGACCCGTCGTCATGATGATGGAGGCAGTAAGTATCTCTGAAACGTCGATTATCTTCCACCACACTACACGGCGCAATATCCCACAAGACAGTCAACTTCAGTCTCGCCTCCGTGATAACCCGGAATCTCAATATTTGCTGATGACTACAAACTATGGAGCTTCTCATAATGCAACCTTGGCCAGCCTCCTGCTGCCTCATTCTTCATTGTAGTAGGAGCGCTTGTTCTTGTACGCCGTCGAAACTACTCAAAATAGACAGCGATGTCGAATGTGGCCTCCAAATTGGGAAGATAAAGTCTGTATTATCACGTGACGTTTTAACAGGAAAATGGCGCGAGAACTTCAGGTAAAGATATTCACTCCGGGAGCTTATTATTGCCCCCCCCCGCGGTCTTCACTCTGTTTTTTTTTCGGGACTGTTTCGTACGAGTAGAATTTGGGACTTCGCGTGCAACGCCACTGGACCGTTTTTTTACCCTGAATTTTTCAGAACCGTATCCACTTATCTACCTCATCCATCTACACACCTAAAGCCAGGTTTCTATGGGGACTTCTCTCGCTCCCCAATATCGATCTATCGCTCGACTCGTTCGCATTCTGCGCTCATAAAAACATCATTAACTTCGCACACACACACACACATCCCATCCTAGTAATCGCCCACTGCCGTGCCCGAATCCTGATCCGATCATCACCACACGTAACTGCGTCCCCTTCGTCAATCCTCGAACCCAAGGGACCGATCGTGGGTTCAAAATGTCACCATTAACAACCCGTGGCGATCACATTTATGTCAGGACCAACTAAAAAGTTACCTAACTTACGTCTCCCAGAACACTAATGTTTCCTGTACCCAGATGGCTCTCGTCTGGCATGTTTCGCCGCGTTTAGTGTGGTAGATATTTTGACAGACGTTTCAGAGGAGATTTTTGCTTCCATCATCAGGGAGACGGCCTGCAATAATCTGTACAGTCGGATCACTAAATTTATTATGAATTTTCTGCTGGTGACAACTGTACGCAGAAGTATGTTGGAGGAAAAAACAAATGAAAAACGTAATGAATTTTAGGATTTCCATCATTAAGCGTGTGATAATTTCTGACGGTCCCAGCTGAGTACGTAACTACTCTGAAGATGGAAACAGAACTACATTACGAAACGTTGTGGTTGTTTTATTTTATTTTAAAGAAATACTATGGAAAAATTCCAGATAGCCAATAATTTTAGGTGTGATAATTTAATTTATACTAAGCGAACTTAGCTAAGTATGATAATTTATAATTTAAAGCACTCTTCGTTGTATGCCTGAAGATGTCAGTCGCTGAAAAGACCTTCTCAATATTCTATTAATTCATTGACGACGTTATAATGATATTCTGGCAATTTGATTATAGATGTTAATCTTAAAGATGGAGGCAGTATGTTCCCTGTATCCATACAAGTTTTTCCTTCATTACACCCCAGGTCATCATCTTCACCGCCCTGAGAACCTCATATCTCACTGCAGTCAGTACGACAAAGCCGTCGTTGAACACGATTTTCGTATCGTTGTTAAAATTATCTTCGCCATTGTCCAGGCAAATATCTGAATTGCATTAAAACGTCTGTGTCCACTCCGTTGAGAAGAGTGATATTGGTTTTGCTTTCGTAACAGGAAAGACGTATACCATGGTCGGAAGTCCCGAGGCATCTGGCACGCTCGGAGTGATCCCGTGCGCCATCTCGTGGCTGTTTCGTGGAATTAACGAGCAGAAACAGAAGACGGGAGCTCGATTTTCAGTGCGTGTCTCTGCAGTTGAGGTTCTGCAGCAAAGTGGAGGAACTTCACAGCAGCTGAGGGACCTTCTGGCAGGACATGCAAATGGTGAGTGTGGAACACATTTTAAATTCGCCAATTCCTCTCAAACGTCTGCAAATTTCGACCTGACTGCAAGGTTGCAACATCCCAGAAGGCAGCTATCACCTTGAGAACCTGAAATCTCCCATTGTATCATCGTCTGAGAATAAATTTACTGTTTGGTCAACTGTTATCATCTCAGGGACTCTGCTTTCGGAGTTCGTAACAGATAAGATTATTTTAATAATGAGAATAATACATTTATTTTATTGAGAATATATTATATTTAATTTGTAATGGAAGTATTTAGATACGAAAGATGTTAAAGGTTTATTGCGAGTTTATTTGTTTAAAAATTACAGATGGTAAATATTAACCAACTGAAATTCGCAGTGTTGTTTATGAAACGACGCTTATACATTCAGGCAGTCCTGATGGAAGAATATATTATTTTAATCAGACGATTTCTAAGTATTTCGGTATTTTAGCAGAATAACAGAGTAGGAACCTATAATTTTCTTGCTGTATAATAACTTATAAACATGGCGTGTCCTACTTTAAAAATATTAAGTTACAAAAGGAGTAATACGAATCGTATTTTTTTTTTGCAATTGGATGTGGCACAGTTTTTATGGAAATAAAATATCAACTCACTCCTCAGAGACAGTTTGACAGTTCAGTTACATGATATTTTTATTTTCCATGAAAAATAACATTACGCGATTTATCAAGACTGCCTTCTCCTTCAGTGTTTGCTGTATCTCGCCTTCTCGTTGCCCCCACACACAACAATTTCACTTCGTAAAAATTCTCGTCAAATTTTAAATTTAAATTCAAAAGAAAAAAAATTGCTCGACTTGGATGTGTTTCTAGACTTGGACTGAAGAATATTGCAGAGTGTGAAGAAGAAATGTGGGTGGGAGAAGGGTGTTCAGCCCTCGTCTGACTACCATCTGGTGCACCCCCCACCCTCCCCAGAAGGCAGGGTGCCAGGACATCACTTTTTACGTTTATTTCTATGGAAATGATGATTTTTTTTCCCTCTGTCGAAGATGGTTCTAGGATTTATACTGGGGTTCAAATTGGTGTTTCTGTTTTTAAGGGAGGGTGTTATAGGAGGCTGAAGGGGGGTAATTTTTAGCGTATTGGGTTTCTTACAGTAAAACCTATTTCGTATGCCTAGGGGTGATAGAAAGAGTTTTCTCGTGTTCTGTGGCAAGGGAGCGCTTGGGGATGTTTCTCTCTTAGCGTGAGGGGGTGTGACGGTTAGTGAGACTTAACTTAAGACTTTGAAAGGACACTCCGCCCCCCCCCCCCCCCACACACGTTTAAGGAATCCCCCTCTTTCGAATGGGCTTATAGTAGGTCTTCAGTGGAAACCAATACCTCGGTACAGCCGACGACGTCTGGGACGAGGGAAAAGGCGATTTTAGAGATAAAATATTTCGTTTATGATTCGAAAATACGCCCTTAATTTTGTGCACTACGTGATGGGTTATATATAACGTTCAAGCCACCTTCTCTCTTCTTGAATGATACTAAACGTCTTTTGTAATTCGTGAATTATTTATAAAAAATGTATTTATTCGTCAGATCGGACACTGTTTTTTTTATTTTTAAAAAAAAATTAAATAAAATCCCAGAAAATTTAAACTCCCCTGTAACGATCAATATGGCGGACTGTCGTTCGTACAACACTAAATTGGAAAATCACGTGAATTAGAATGCATCTTGTGGCAAGGAATGAATAAGTGCTTCGTTTTTAAAAAAATAATTTTAATATATTAACGCTTATTGTATTTTCAACAGAAAAACAGAAGACATCTGAAATGATTTGATTTTGTCTGTGAGCGTCAGAATTGTTTTAACAAAAAAAAAGAAGTAATTGTTGTTATAGATGGTTTCTCTTCATTCATTGTCGTAACTTGATAAACAAATTGCATTGTTACTGTTGATTAATATATTAATTATTGTTATGACTCGGGAAAGGGGGCGAGAAGGTTGCCTATTGTATTCCAGCCCTTGATAGAAGTTGTAACAATTCTCTAGCATTGAATTACTATCTACTAAACAACAAATGCGTGCACCATAATAATGGCATTGTTTGTAAAGTTAGTAATAAAAAAATTCTCCATCTTTCGTGTGAAGATCTGTAACATTAATTTCTGTAGAGTTGTAACAAAAAGGAAACTCCTCCTGTCAGCGTAACGACGAGCAGTGGAAATCAAAACAGAATCCCCCTCGAAACCCGCCATTGAGCTTTGTGCTACGTGTCTGGCATTAGTTCAGTCGCAATAGAACATTCTCTTTGTTTCTGTACAACCATCCGTTCGTGCAGAATTAATGTTTGTAAATTACATTAATTAGTAATTACTTTAATGTAGCTTTACATCTCTCTCGCGCTTGTCTGTTGAATAATTACTTTCCTAAGCTAATTACAAAGCATTCCAAGTTATGAAACAGTTTCAGTGTATTTTGAAGAGATTGTAGTTACGTTCTCTAGCCGTGTGTATGTGAAACATACTTTGCTTTTTGATGCTAGATTTTGTATGTTAAATATTGGACTCAGTTACCATTTCAATTTCTACGCAAAAAGCTAAACCTATGTACAATAAACTAAAGAAAATAATGAAGAAATATAATAAGAACTATATAAACCTTAAATAGAATAACAATTACAAGGCGAAACATTTATCTTCGCAAATAATACGGCGAAATCCACAACCAATAATTTTAAGCACGCCCCAAGGTCCACTTGTGAGCTCAACGAACTTCATTTGTTCAAATAAAATGTTTTTTTATTGGCATACATGTGCGATCTGTTGAGAAAAACATGAACTAAAGTATTCGATGCAGCCTTGTGTTGCCATCTAGGAGCCTTGTACGGATTTAGTATGTAACGATGGATCGGCTGACTGACCAACTACTGTTTCCACCGATGGTCCAGCCGGGTTGTACTCAAAAGGGTTAATCGAGCATATTCTATCTTACGTTACACGGCAGAATCCCTTTTCCCGAAAGAACCACCAACTAACCAAACTTCAGATTGATGAAGGATAGCACTGATCCATGTCTGCTTGATCTCTGCAGACTGTGAACAGTCTCCTGGAGTGTACCTCCGCGATGACCCGCTGTTCGGTACTCAGCTACAGAACCAGAGTGAACTCCGAGTTCCAACAGCAGAGAAGGCAGCGTTCTATTTGGATGCAGCAATCAGCAGCCGGAGTGGCTGTCGCAGTGACGGTACTTCAGGCGGCCCTGCCGACTCCCACCTGCTGTATACTCTCCATGTGTACCAGTATAGTGTTGCCGGAAAGGGCCACGGAGTCGCTGGGGGGAGGAGTCGACTCCACTTGATCGACTTGGGAAGTTGCGAGAGAGGCAAAGCACATGGTGGAATTCCGCTGTCTGGGCTCGGTAACGTTCTTCTCGCGATTTTCAATGGGCAGAAACATCTTCCGTACAGGTGAGAGGAATAAGACCTGAATTTTGAGTGGCAGATCAACTGAGTTGAATCTATGGCATTTAGATTTTAATTAATCAGTGTTAATGTCAAGCTGTTACTGAAATGGAACCGCAGAGGCGTTGGAATTATTAGCTCAATTTTAAGGTTATGTTTCGTGTTTATAAGCGAATAAGTATATACAGTCCGCGACTGTAATCCTGAGACTTGCATTCCTTACAAATCTCAAGATTACAGTCGTGGACTATAAAATACTTTCCTTGTTTGAACAATCTAATTATTAACATAATTTAAAACTTTATATATGAGACATGATTTGATGATAAAGCAAGTAATGGCTATGATTTTATGTTAACATGAATTTATGCTCACACGTATCAACACTTCAATTGTTCAGGGAACATAAAGTGACGCAGCTTTTGAAGGAGTGCCTGAGTTCACTCACGTGTCATGCCGCCATGATTGCCCACGTGTCGCCTGCAGCCCAGCACTACACGGATACCCTGGCTACAGTGCAGCTTGCTTCTAGGATACACCGCATGAGACGCCGCAAGATAAAGGTTCAGTGAGTCACTTGTATCGCCAATGAGCGTGATGTAAGACAGTGTTTCCCCGATTGGTTTGAGTCTGATTTGTTCGATCATGTTTCTGTCACTAAAGATACAAAAGAAATTACTGTTTTACGACTAGAATTTTTTTAAATTCCTAAATGTCACTGCAATCTCTCTCTCATGGAGTTTAATGGTACACTTAACCAACTGACGATGAAGGAAGAAGACATGAAATTTTTTAATGTTCATATTAGAAAATTATAATGTTTCTTTCGACTTTGAGACCACGCAATGGTGTTAGTATTTTACGTATGCGTTTGTAGATTATTATTTGTACCACACAAAGTGGGACATTGTATAAGTCCTTGGAAAATATATTGATATTTTAGTGATTTAAATTATAATTCACAAATCACGTGTGAATGATACAGGTCAATTAAGTACTCGGCCAACCGTTTGAAAAATGTGGCGATTACCTATTTGCGGCACTATTCTGGCATTTGCCTAAACGCACATCAATATGATTTAATCCATGTATCGATTTGCCTAAACGCACATCAATATGATTCAAACCATGTATCTTCCAGATATGTAAATGAATTAATTGTCCAAATTGCCTCATGAGTGTGCCAATCCGCTTCATTAATTTGTTCGTCTGTAATTTAAACATTTTGGGAGCACAGTTTTCAAACTCTGTAAACGCATTGACATTACAGCCCAACACAACTGTGATGCCTGACTGTTTCAGTTCAGTGGGGGCTCTGCCGGTTCGGGCGGCAGCTCCGGAGAAGAAGCGGCAGTTCGTCTGCAGCAGACACAGGAGAATGGCCGCTCAACAGGCAGCTCAGATGTCGATCCCTCCAGCAGCGAACAGTCGGCTGACACCGTCATCTACGTGGGTCCATCTGATGATGCAGCGACTGATGGAGAGCATCCGCCGGTCTACATTCCGAGCCTCAACTCTGGTGATAACCGCTGTGCTATGGGCAAGGCTCTGAGAGGGTCCAGTGCGGAGCACAGACTGCCGTCTAATAGTGGTAGCGGCCAACAGGGCAAATCAGCTTCGTCATCACCGGCCAAAACAAACAGCGCGCAGTCCAAACTTCCGAATGGTAGTGTGGTGGAGGACAGGAGTAGCCCATCGCATCGTGGCAGTTCGACAAAGTCATCGACAAATCAACTGAACTCAAAAACATCTTCCCCGAGTCATAACAGCAGTTGCAAATCTTCCCCAGTAAGGACTCTTTCTAAAATGACGCCCCACAAAACATCATCATCATTAACTGACCAACAACTTTCTAGCTCCACCCAGTCGCAGACTTCAAGTAAAATTCCTGTGCCTTTTAGTAATGCCTGCGGTAATGCTGCCGGGACCGTTTCCGGAAGCGACGAGCAGTGGATCGATGGCCCTCGAATCTCTAAGTCCAAAGTAGCAGAGGCTCGAAGTTTGCTCAAAGACAGTCACAAAAAGAAAGAAACGTGGATCGATGGTCCATTACAAACCGGAAAGTTGCCAGCACTGGGGAATGGCCACGCCAGTGGAAGCTACGGCTTCATGGACAGTCATAAGAAGAGCATGATTCGAAAATGGGTTGAAAACCAAACCGTTCAGATCCAGCGACAGACCGTTAAGAATTCGACTTCAGCTGCGTCTCCGAGACCGCCGACAACTGGAGCCCCGCAGGGTCACACGTATAAAGAACTCACTGTTTTCAAAACTTGCGAGGATGAAACGGAATCTCCGGGGGGAGACGCGAAGTCATCTTCGGAAGTAGAACCTCGGTCTAGTTTGCCTAAAGACGAGACAGTTTGCTTAGGTGTAAATAGAGAATTAGTGGTGGCCGAGGGCGTGGAACACGTGGAGGATAACCAAAGAACCAACGAGAGAAGTTCTTCGGAGGCGGAGGTCGATACGCCAGGCGAGCAGGACACGACGATAGTAGAGACTGAACCGGAAAATGTTGAGGAGGAAGACGATGTGGTCGGAGATATTCCACCACCTCTGCAGCTCTTTCAACCTCATAACAAGGAGATTATTACAGGTAAATTTTTGATACTTGTTTATTTTCAGTGAATTTGAAACATGCAACACAGATTTCTAATCTCTTATGGTATTTTTTCCTGAATCTGGTTCCAAAAAAAAAACAGTATGTTTATTTAATTCAGTTTTGTCATCTTGGAACTTAAAGCAACGTGAGTGAGTCATTTTTTTTTCAAAACACAAGAAAATGTTCACATGTCGTAGATTTACGGCGTGTAAAAGAATCTTACGAGCATGAAACGAGATGTTTCGTAAGCAAAATTCAGCGGCCATTTCTCACCCAAGCTTCTCCTGATTCACTACTAGATGGCTCTAGCAGATAAATCAGGATTTAGTAGAAATTGTTCAGAGGCAGTGGGCGGATCGCTCGCTACTCACAAATGCACACTTCGAAGACCAAGAAACCTCCGAATGGAGGAGGCGAAGACCCACAGCTGGGTTGTAGAGCCAGGGAAGAAGAATAATGCTCTATAGTACACCATTTGTTTGACCAGAAGTACTCTAATTAAACACTGTCTTGTGTAACGGCTCAGAAATTTGCTCTGTAGAACCTGCAGTAATGCTTAATGTGTTTACAGATGTTTCAGTCGACAGTCTTGATGTAAGACTGAGAACTATTCACGAACGAAGGGAAGCTGCCGGTGCAGTGGGAAAAATGGATGATGACAATGATGAAGATGAAGTAGAAATCATCGAGGTCGAAGAACCATTTGAGACCGTTCCGATGCAAGATTCTTGTCTACAGGTATTTTGTCACTTAAAAACAGATTTCCGTACAACGAACGGTGAATTTAAAGTGTTTATATGGCTACATTTTTTTTTACCTTGATTTTTATTTTGTTTTTCGCGATATCAGGTTGGTTCGGAAAATTCTGACGATGGATTCGTTGTGATAAACTGATTTATTTTAATTTGAGATTACGCAATGCATATCGTCCTTGGGCAACTGGACTCTTTGTCATTTTCTGTACAGTTCTTGGAAGCTTCGCTGAAATTTTTTTTTTCTTAATTTGTGGTGTGGACTGAATTATTAAATATTATTTAGGCAAGCTTCTGCTTCAAAGGGTTACGTGCGTTAAATGGTGTGCTGTAGGTAACCGAGGAAGACATAGCACTCTGCATGGGCGAGATTGAGAATCCTTTGCCAGAAGTGGACCAAGAGAGTAATGAGGAACATCCCTTGCGAATCCTAAGTCAAGAGAACCTGACAGTTGTCTCAACATTTACTGGTACGTGAGATTTTAATTACATAGTCTGTCATTTGTTTATGACATAAGTATACATAATAAGTTGTATAATATTTATAGTTTCTTCAGAGGTGCAGCGAATGCCGTGTTTTAACTCGCGTATAATTTGAATTTCAGACTCGATGTCTGTAGTGACGGACCTGGAGCGGATGCTTCCTCATCATCAGTTCGGGCACTCGGAGGGGACGTTACCTAACCACCGACCATACAGCCTGTATGAACTACCAGATGATTATATAGGCCGAACAGAACTGAGGTTGTTTGACGATGGTACCAGTGAGAACAAACGACAAACACCCGATCTCATATCGAATCAAACCAAGTTTGAACAACTGGCCAGATTGCATGAGATGTATAAGACAAAACTCGCCAGAGCAAACGTTACAAAGACACTGTCGTCAAATTTGAGCCCCTCCCTCCAGTATCGTCCTCCGTCCAGGTGTCAGTCCTTATCTATGTCTGACATGTTGTATGGTTCTGGTAATCCTGACAGCAACTATACCAGCGTCGTTGCTGGCGCTGGTGGTGGTAGCATCTATAGTGAACCAGCTTATAACGTTCATAAATCTCTACGCCAGAACCAAGCTAAGATATGTGACAACTGTAAGATGAGTTTTAGCCACACAGGAAATGGAAGCAGCTGGTACCAGCCACTGATGACTAAAACCACCTGGGAACACATACCAATGCACCATCCTCTGGGATCAATGGTCTGTGATTCCGTAAACCACCGGTTCTGTAGTAAGTACTTCTTTATTTATGTTATGTGTAATTATCGCACTCTAACTCCGGTGACGTCGTTCGTCGGGGGTTATGATGTCACGTAGATGCCAGCATGGCAGAGGAACTTGCTGTGTTGTTGCTGGGAAACGAACCCAGGTCATCCAGCATGTAACATGGTCATCGCACTGTCCGAGCTACCTTGCTCCTTTAATTGTGCCATATATTTTTATGAAAATAGATATTTGAGAAAGTAATTAATGCATAATAAGGTGAACCCAGAGTAGCTCTGGCAGAATTTCGTAACATGGTCGGAGTTCACATTAACTGTATATGGATACGTGTCCTTTCATTGTCGCTCAGTTGTCTGTAATTTAAACTTGTCTTGAGAGTCTGCAATTCTTAAAGTGATCTTTGTGTAAACATACTTTAGGAGGTGGGTGTAATATCTCATCACTGCGGCATCCAGACGGTGCGTCGAATCCAAATCTGAAAGAAGAAGTTGAGAGAGTACCAGGAAATGGCGCTTCCACATCTGATCATGAAGAAGAAACATCTGAGCGGCAGAGCAAGTGAGGGGGCATTATGAAACAATGTTATAATTTATGTTGCATGTATTTTTAAGGTGCTAGTCATACCTAAATGTCAGTTTTGCTTAAATTCCATGGATCCATAAGTTAGTCATGACAATAGGATTTGGAATCCGTGGTATAACAGCCCTCTGAGAGCCAAAGCCGACTAGGTGGCTGCCGGCCTCACGTTCACATGCCTAAGCAGAGGTGAACGATCATCCAACCAGATACAGGATGATGTGTGGTCAGCACGACGAACCCCCAGCCATTGCTAGCTTTCCTGACCGGATTACGCTACTCATTGTAGCTCCCCAATTTTCTCACGATGCTGGGTTGGCACCGGTCCCATACACTGGTCGAAAGCTCATGAGAAATTTCTTTTCCCCTGAGACTCGAACCAGCGCGCAGTCCGTATCGCCGGTCCGAAGCATGATGCCTCAGACCGCGCGGCTTCGGCGCGGGATTTGGAATGAGTCATAATAATAACAATTTTGTTCTGTTAGGGAAGCCATCTCCTCATGCATGTTCGTAAGCTCCTGAAGCCAAGGGTAGTAAGGTTTGATTATGCTTCTCGCAGGAGTCGACAGACACCAAAGCAGGAGGTGCGGACTGTGACAGGCAAGGCTCATGACGAAGAGGAAGAAGAGGACGAACCCCCACCAGTACTTCCCCCATCCCTTCCTCCTGCTCCTTCTTCTACTCGTCTCCATCGCAGGCTGTTCGGGGCCAAGACAGGCACCCGTCATGCTAGTCCCAGATCCCCGTGCCCGGCAATAGGGCCCGAAGGTTACGACAGTGGTCATGACTCTAGCAGTCCCAGGTATGCCAGGCAGTCATTCTTTCGTTGGAGGTTAAGGTAGCGTTACGTTAATAGTTAATACTCAATTTTAGGCAGTAATTTTTCTTCAGTTCCCATTCTGGGATGATAATGGATGATTTTTTTTATCTTGTATGCAAAACACGAGGGTAATTAAAGGTCTTTGTTTTTACTTCTGTAAAAATATTTTAATTTTTTGATCAGCTCTAAAGAAATTTGAGAGTCAACTTGAATCCAAGGCAATATGCGATCCTCCCCACTTACAAGTGACTGTAAATTTTAGGCGTTTCTCAGATTCGGGTCAAGAGATGGCTACCTTGGTTATATGGTTTTATATATATTTTTTTTTCGTTTACCATTTAAAAGAGCAAGTTTTTGTCATTCTGTTAATGGTAATTCTCTTGTCAACTTTAAATATTCATAAATATTTTGCGCATGGCTTCGGAAGACAACTTAAAAGCGACAGGTAGTGATAAATGTAAGCTTATAGGAAACTGCTCCTTTTGATTGACATGCATTTTGCTGTTGTCATATACTGTTAAATTAATTTAATAAATGCAAATTATGATGATATTACAGAATATATAAATGTAACCAATTTAAAGAAATGTCAATAAATTATTGTGGATCTCATTTTGTCCATTGTACTACTTTGTTTTTGCCGGGATCCTTCGCCCTTCTGCTCAGTGACTTAATATACCCACCCAGAAACTTACTAATATTCCCGTTCTTCCCAGTCGAGGGAAACGAGGCTTATGACACCATTTCTGTGCGCCTTGTTTCCTCTTTGCTAATAAATTTTGAAATATTACTGTTGTGCCAGTGCAAACCACGACTACTAGTAATTTTTAATTCCGCGCCTTAAGATATCGGCTGTGTGTGTGTGTGATAACCAGTTTTTGGACAGCGATGGATATATATATAAAATGTTCAATTTTTATTTTAGTAATTTTTGTGTGAAATAGCAAATGACGTGGTGGCTGTACTTTTCGGTTTGACGATGAAAATGGCTAACGAATAAGAATACGAATTTTGGAATGATACTACATAGAAATCTCATACGAAATGTGAATTTTTATTTTTTTATATGAAGACAAAATATAATGGTTACACAAGCCTCAGAATAAAAACTTTCAGGTTTTGGAAGTACGTACTACAGGTAATTTTTAAGAAAGTTACTTTGCGAGGTCATTATGTAATAGGCTGACCTTCAAAATAATTTAAAGCATAAAAATTTGTTTTAGTAACTTTAATATTCATCGTATTATTCTTTGTTCCTTGGGTATTACTATTGTGGATGTATAATAAGAATTTTGTTAGAAAATTCAGGGTACGACAAACATCGGTATGTTTCATTTTGAAGAACTCGGAGAAATAAGGTCATTATTACAGGAAACGTAAGAATAAAGTATGTAATGAATCTTTTAATCTTTATTGTACAGGATGATGCTGTTACGCGCAGGAAGCCGAACCGTGCATAAGCACTGATGATGACCCGATAAAGATTAAATAATTGTCACATACGAATACTACATTTGCTCAAATATAATATAACATAACTATTAACCCAACTGAGTGGTTAAATTAATTGGATATTACAATCATCCCTTAATTTATGTTTTCTCCTTTAACATTAACATGGAACTCTGTATTCATGATCCACGCGTTATCCACCATACAAATGAATTTGTCATATCGTGAAAGCCGTAAGTCTCGTCTTTCTCGCAGCTGATTGCCCTTTTTTTAAAAAAATCTTTTAAGATACAATTCAAGTCCACATTTTTTGACATGGTATGCGCTCCTGTGTAGTTTGAGGTCTTGTAATCAGCTGACCCCAAAGAATCTTACCAAATGTTTAAAAGGACTACAATTTTAGAATTAATTCTGAATTGGAACAAGATACAAAGCCTAATCCACAAACACTAAAACTAAAAATAAATAAGACATTAAGATGTTGTTTTTTGTTGTTGTAGCACTGTGGTTACTAGTGTTTCTAGGAACATATCACTTTCATCTCCAAGGTAAACTACACAGTGTCACAACCCTTGTATTACGGAGGCTACCGGACAAGACTTTAACTCTCGGATTAATGGTTTAGCAGTACAGCCGCGATGCATGGCAGTTGGACTGCATGGATGATAAAGGTTAAAGTTGTAAATTGCTGATTTTGATTCTTGCTTACTTCATTATTTAACAGTCCACGCCCCACAAAGGCATCGCAGTTGGCGTCGTGTTTGCCCGGAGTACTGAGTGGAAGAAGGCCGGCCGCCGCCGCCATCTTGTCGGCCGTGCAGTGCGAAAGCTCAGGTTATGAGAGCATTGTGAGGGACAGCGAGTGTTCAAGTTTTGGTTCCAGCCAGGATTCTGATCCAGGTGAACCGCATGACCCAGGCGGTTCGAAGAAAGGTGCGTATTGAAATTTGGTTCTGGAACATATCATTCCCCATTTCTCTGTATGATACACATATGTTATGATTAAGTCTTAACTATGTCACTTCTTGTTGTTATTCGATAATATCTGTTAGAAAATGCTTAAAATGTAATCTCAGAACATGCGTCATTACCGGATTGATAATTACTCTGGGTCCGTTTCTAGCCACTGGGACTTTGTAAGACTTAAGACTCCTTCTGTTGATGTATTGTGCTATTCACTCTTCTCAGGTCTGATACAAAATATCTGTGGATACTTTCAGTATTATTCTGTGAACCCTTATTTTATATTGTTAATTATGTATTAATTTTACTGTCATAGAACCAAAATATTAACTTCATTATATCACAGTGTATGAAAATCTGTGACAAAGTTATGTCGTAAAATGTAACCGAACAACTGTTCATTCCAGCTCTAGTCTTGATATTGGTTAACCTACCCTTGTGTGTGTGTATGTGAGGGGCAGTCAAAAAGTTCCCGTAATTGTGGTATAGCACGGTAATGGTAGGACATATGGCAACGCTTACCTAATCACCTTCAAAGTAGGACCCTTGCGCACGCACACACCTCGCTGGTTGTGCAGCAATTCCTTGCCGAGAAAAGCATTCCCGTCATCACCCAACCACCATACTCTCTGGATCTCGCTCCGAGTGACTTCTGGCTGTTCCCTACTCTGAAAACGGGCCTCAAGGGGACGCGTTTCGCAACCATGGAGGACATCAAATCGAACACGATGGCCGAACTCCGGAAGATTCCAAACGGTGCTTCCGACAATGGCAGGATTGATGGAGCAAGTGTGTGTGCGCGCAAGGGTCCTACTTTGAAGGTGATTAGGTAAGCGTTGCCATATGTCCTACCATTACTGTGCTATACCACAATTACGGGAACTTTTTGACTGCCCCTCGTACAACCACCACCATATATGTCTACATGGACAACTTAACAGTTACTGTACTTTATCTCTGTACCTGTTTTTGAATGATTAGACGGACAATCAGTTTGGTTTTCCTGCGTTGATTAAAAATGCTATTTGATTGCTTCTACTGTAGGGTCATTGGTTTGTTGGATACAGTTCCCGTGCTGCAGTATTGTAGAGAGGACGTGGAGCGGCTGGAACGCCGCTGGACGGAGGCACAGGGGCGGCGGATCAGAGAACTGAGGGCAGAGCAGCAGGAGCTGAAGCAAGAGTTGGCAGCAGCCAAGACCCGACTACTCATTCCTTCCACGAGGTGGAGCTACGAACGTAAGTGAGTTATCCTTCTTTCATTCCTTCTGTATGTGAAATTGTAGCGTAATATAATATACACTGTACTACATCTGTATTTATGTACTAAATAAGAAAGATGTTTCAACTATAAGATGTCTGAAGAACAATGTACAAATTATGCAATAGAATTACACTGTAAAATTTTTGTGGTTATTATTGAAATACCATTTTTGGACATAACAAAATTTAACAAAATTTTGACATGTGCATTATGGTTTTTCATGCATTTCATTTTAAGTCTCCATTCTCTGTTATGTCTGACAATAACTAAGGAAAGAAGAAATTAAACTAAATGAAACGTACTCTCACAGCTTCCATTCAAACATCTGCTACTGAACATTTTTCATAAACTTGGTAAAATGAAAATTGTAATACGAAAATATGAAAGATAAGCTGGGAGCAGAATTTTTTTTGGTGATATTTTGGGTTTTCACGCTGATGAATGTGAAGATCGCTGCCCTCTTAGAAATTACACCATGTGTTCGTTATTTACATCTCCATAATTTTTTTAATACTGTGCATGTAATTCTTTTCTCAGCAAATTCATTGAATATCAGTGTAATGTTTAAATGTCTCATTTGGATTACAAGTTGTAGAAAATTGACCCGTGCACGTTAACATAGATTTTAAATACCAAAAAGACATCGTAGTTCTTCGCTGTCATAAGTGCAGAATTTTGTAAGTTTCATCTAACTCCACAGAGCACATGTACATTTTTCTATCTCACTGCTACCGCCATTGCTACTACTCCAACCAAAAGCACCCATTGCACTGCTAAAGGTCGCGCAAGTAGTGGTGGCACCTAAATGCGCGACGTGTTAGCCGAGACAAGGGAGTTCAGTAGTAGTGGGGGTCACACAGCCTCAGCTGCAGTGACGCACCGATCTAAACACAGCTAGAGCTACAAACCAACTGAAGCTGACACCCCTCTAGCGCGTGCTTCGGACGGGTCCATCTCGTCATCATCTAGCTGTCAAGGATTTTGAGCCTTGTGACCCGTTCCAGGAATCTTTTTAAAGGGGGCCCTTTGTTTCTTTTTTACTTTCAAAATTTGATGTGGCAATCTGTCCTTGTCCATTCTTCGTACATGTTGGATACAGTTCCTTCTGTATCTGTGGATTTTTTCCAATATTGGCTCTGTCTGTAGTTCTTTGTGGATGACGGTCATTTCTTTTATGATCTCTCCATGTGTATTTGGCTGTTTTTCTTAAAAACTTCATCTCTGCTGCTGCAATTCTTGATTTGTCGCGTTGTTTCATTATCCAGGTTTCGCATCCGTAAAGAAGTGTAGGTATGGCCAAGGTTTTATATATTTTCAATCTAGTTTGTGTTGGGGTTTTAGAAAGTTTAAAGATTTGATTAATGATGCCTGTAACTTGTAAGTATTTAGATAATTTTGATGGGAGATCTTTTTCTGTTTCATACGATACCGTACATCCAAGATAGTTAAATGTGTTTCCTTTGCGCAAGTGCCAGCACTTCTCGTGCGACCTGTACAAGCAGGTAGCACATTTTCGTTAACCTCGCTTCTTCCTCCATGATGTAAAATGTGGTATTCTCTTCTTTGCCTTTTCCTTATCAAACAGCGTTAGTGACTCTATGGTGTTGAAATTGTTGCAGTCCATGTGGAAGCAAGTATGGACTGCAGGGATCCAAGCTTCCTGGAAGCTCTGGTTCAAGAGACACAGATTCTACAGAAACGTGTTGAAGCCTGTAAATCACACATTCTCATGGTTACCTGCTTTGATGCTGTTCTCAAACAGCAAGACTAAGTTGGGCTCCAGGAACAATCGTTTGCAGTTTGCAACTTTATCTTGCTGACTGTAATAAATTGTAATCATTGAGCACTAGATGTTTGTGCTTTAAAATGTGTTCAGTTTGTTGTTTGCAGGGAAGTAAGTCACTTCTCTTTCAACATCCTTGTACAGTATAATTCAGTATGTCTTAATTTTTGTTCAAATCTTAAGTTTATACGGTATTTCAAATGAAATTCTGAAATATACATTTAAATACGTCAGAAGCACGTGCTCTATCCTCCTTCATCATTATCCCCACCATTGATTTGTTGTTAAATAAACTTAAATAATCTCAGAAGCTTAAGAACAACCAGCGAAATTTACATTTCGTGTTTCGTTCTGACCTTAAATTTATCACTACAGTTGATTCTGAAATTCAACAGTTCGTATTTTGAAAGCCTGTAAATCAGAAATAACTTTGAGTTTATTGGGTGGAATATGCAAAGAAAATACTCGTAAAAGCAGTCTTTTCACGGCTTAAATGAACATTGAAACAAAATGAATCCTGTCATTTGGAAAGACATGACAGTCTTATAAGACAAGAAAGTAAATTAATTACATTTGCATTTCTGAACAGAAAATTTACAGAGCTGTTTATTTTAATAACTTTAAGAATTTACTTGAAAAAAAAGCTATTGAGTGTATTTTAGTAATTTTCTACACCATGAGTTAAGAACAATTGGCAGTGCACGAGGGCGTGAATAGATTGGAGAGTAAAATATCGGTCGTGTTTCACAGCTTATATTGGGTCCAACTGACTGAGCATCACAGTAGCGTAGAGTGAAAGGAGACAACCCGCCCCATGTCTGTTTTTAGAGAACATTTTCTAAAGAGCTGATTTTAGCCTGAACATCTAATAAAGTCTTTTGTGTGAGGGTTGTCCATGTTTTTACAACACATCGGCCATTGTATTTTTGTTAGTAGATGGTAAGAATATGGGGAGTCATGTAATAAACGGCAGTGAGTGACAGAAACTTTTATCTGTTTAAGAGTGAATGTTAATATTTAGCTTTTTGGAAAGGATCCTATTCCCATCTTCATGAATTAATCTTGTTAGACTGATGTGACTCCATGTATTGGTATAGGAACCTAAATACACATTACAGCTGGAAATGTGAGGTTAGAATTTCTTCTGTTTTTCTTTCTTACGAAGTCCACAGTATGGGAAACTTATCTTTGTACCTAATTTTACAGAAAGGTAGAGTTCAAGTACTTTAAATAACCGAATATTTATATATATATTGAAATACAACACTTTTATGGAAGAACTTTTACATAAAAATGGCCATTAGTAAAATCAATGTCTATGTCATTTTTATTCTTGAATAATTTACAACAGCCATTTTACTTTGTTCTGATAAGAGTTAGGGAATTTCTAAAACGATGAACTAACTCTGAATAATTTATATTGAATTGATTGTTTATTTAAGAAACTGTATATTTTTCATAACTTTTATGCAGTTCCCTTTTTTGACACACATTTTCTTGCACTTATTATTGCGAAATGTTCTTCTTGGTGTCTATATATGTAAATCTCACGTCCATTTCTAGAGTCAAATTCTGTTAAATTGTAATTTAAAAGAATTATGCAAAGAAATTCTTTAGTCCCCCGTGCTATTTATAATGTTCAAATAGTTTTTTTCTATATTTGGAACTTTGTATTACCAAAAATGTCATGGAACTGGAATAATAATTTAGTAAAATTTTGTATATAATTGATGCAAGAACAATCATTCAGTGGCTTTTCTGATGTTTACGAAAGATTGTAAAGGTTACACGAAACAGCACTGTCTGTACAAAGGCACATTTTACGTCTCGTTTGCGCAGTTAGTCATTTTCCTTGTGCAAGATAATAGTGAAACCAGAATGTAGTTTAATAATTTGGATAATTTTTTTTTTATATTTTGCTTTGATGATGATGATGATGGGCGATGACAACAAGTATAACTACGAGATGGGACATACATACTCCTTTGTGTGCACTGAAATTCCAGTGGCATTCTTTGTTCCACACCTCAGCAGGTTACGTTAATAACCACAGCGCAAAGGAACTGTAGCAATGTTATCCAGGGCCATTATATTGAGTCAGCAATGACCTCCAATCCCATTTTTGCAACATTGTTTTTCCAACAACTAACCCAAGTCATGCAGGTTGCCAAGTTCCTAGGAAATATATGACACGTGGATAGGCCCATAAGATTTTTATCGCACACTCTAGAGAGCGAAGGACACCTAAGATTGTAAAGGTGTTATCGATACTGGAATTAATTAAGTTTCTACATGTGGTCTTTGCAAATTTTGGTTTTGAATGTTCCTAGTTCATGTCAAAGAATACCCCATATAATGTCAATGTAAATATCTTTCTCATAAGTGCAGCAACAGAGGGCAGGCAATGTAAGAACATGAGTGTATTTTTTCATGATAAAATTAATTTAAAAAGTCTTTTAACTATTTATGTTGTGATTCAAAGGGAAAAAGTGAATCGTAATCTAAAGTACATCCTTTCGTATGTACGTAATCTTACATTTTAAAATTGTTTTCTTTCTTCTGCAAATATCCATTTTATTTGTTGCAAACAAATTCTTGAGAGAACACTGTAAATTTAAAGGGCCTTGACTTTGAGTTACAAACCGAATAATAAATGCAATGACACGTGAACAATATTTAATGTTAATAATGATATCTAAGTGACTTCAAAGAAAACACATCTTCATTACAATTAATGCTATTTAAAGAAATGGTCTGTGTTTATTATGAGAATCATAAGAAATCCATATATACATGCTGTGAACAAAATGGACAGTTTTAAAGCAGGTGGCACATGTAATTGCTATGGGGCTTAAACTAACTAACTAGTTGGCTTATGGAACTGTAAGGTTCATCACCGAATTAACCAAAGCCCTCCACCAGACCCTGTCCTGGGCCACCAAAATCCAGGCTCCTTCAAAATCTATCTCCCAAAAATCCCACCTGAGATTGTCCTCCCATCTACGACTACGTCTGCCAAGCGGTCTCTTCCCCTCAGGCTTCCAGACCAATACCCAGTGCACACAAATTGCCCCATCCATGCGCACAACATGCCCCGCCCATCTCACTCTTCCTGACTTAATCTTGCTATGGGGCTTTCAAGTGTCAAAGAAGAAATATTAATAAAAGATAACATTTGATATTTACATGCACTTACAAGCATACAAGTCAAGTGTTATTATGAGAACTGGTCAATACTGGACACAGTAACTTCAACACCTGGCATCTGCCAGACTTTGCCTCTGCCTCAACCAGTCTATGCTGATATCGTTCTGTGCCTCACCCGGCTCTGTTTGACACGTTCTGTGCTTCTCCCAGTCCCTGGTAGAACCGGTCTGTACACCACACAGTCTAAGCTTGACTCGGTCCACGCATCACACGGTCTCTGCAACACCTGGCATCTGCCAGACATTGCCTCTGCCTCAACCAGTCCCTCCGATATCGATCTGTGCCTCACCCGGCCCTGTTTGACACGTTCTGTGTTAAACCTGGTCTCTGCTTCAACTGGTCTGTGCCTAGCACTATCTCTGATTGACTGACTGTGCTTCACACTGTGCGTCGAACCAGGTCCTTGCAGAGACAGGCCCGGCACAGATCGGGTAATAGATAGACGGTTGGTGCACAGCCCTAGACCGGCAGAAACCGGGTGCTTCAGAGACAGGTTGCGGCAGAGACCGTATCATGTAGACAATGGTTTTGGTAGGTAGACTTTAGCAAAATTTTTCAAAATTCTCGAAAAATGCAGGAAAATAACCAAAAGGCTCACAAAACTAAAAAATTAAAAAAAATTCCGACTTCACACTTTTTCTAGAATTTTTTTTTTGTCATTTCCGCTCTTCACACCATGTATAACCATTTTTAATTTTTTCAAAATTTTAAAATCTTTCAAAATTTTCGAAAAATCAAAAAATGATGGAAATTGCCTGAAAAGCGCACAAAACCAAAATTTTTTGAAAACTTTTGAAAAAAATTTAAGTTGAAATTTTTCAAATTTTTTTGGTTTTGTGCGCTTTTTGGACAATTTGCAGCATTTTTTGATTTTTTTGAAATTTTTCAAAATTCCACCACCTGATGCCTTCTAGACCCGGTCTCTGTCGGACTGCTTTTGATGTACTGTGTCTGACGAATGCGGTCTGTGCCTGACTCCGGCTCTGCACGAACCGGTCTCTGTAAGACAGGGCTCTGACGTGATGTATCTCACCCAGTTGCTACGTTCCTCGGTGACTGCACCGACCGGCCTCTGCAGGACTGATCTCTGC